GACACCATGGTCACTGTAGCTGTGTAGCAAAGACCTTATGCATAAGCTTAATATATAATGTGATCATTATTAGAGTAGAATAATATACTTCGTACGGAGTATAATATTTCCTCTTGTTTTAAATCTTAATTAGATCAATTTTTTGTCTAAGTTTAAATTGCTTTGCGGCCATATTATATTCGGAGCTCCGTCGAAAGATACGTAGTATTGCTTTAGGTCTCCACAAGGATCAAAGATATAGTTCATGGAGAGTGGCGTAGTTTTTTCTTTGACAAAAAATGGCTTATATAGCACGAAACAAACAAACAAACTACAATTCATGTCGCCTTGAACCACACTTAAAACATATGACCTCCACAGAAGTAATCAGATTCGGTAATCCTGAATTAAGCTTATAACCTGAGCTAATAAATAACAAACTAGCTTCTCATCATAAGTTCTAGAGTTTTAACGTTTTTAAAAGAAGAGTGGCGTAGTTGAAAATATGGTATTCAACCTAACAGTAATCAAATAAATAATCTCTACATACTCCATTACATAACTTTTTGTTTCCCCTAACTTTATTTTATCAAATTTCGATTTCGCACCGATTTGGCGTGCTTCATACCTCCCTCCAATTGTTATATTCCTAGTTAGGCATTCTCAGTCAAATTTTATAAACTTTGACATGTAATTAAAATTAACATTAGTTTGTTCCATAAAGTTAATTTTGTATATTTCATTGTAATATACGATAATATATTATTCAAATGTTAATTTTTTGAAGCCTAAAGATTGTACAAATATATGTATTAATAGATACTCCGTGTTTAGGATTAAAAGTCATACCGTGGGAACATAGTGCGCATAATGTATCAATTCCACTATTATGTTGTTTTACTATTTTTTTCTTCCTAGGAGCATAGTTTTTCTTTTTTCCGTTGCTTCTCATTATTTACTTTTCTTTTCTTCAATTCTTTCTCCTTCTCCATCAAAATAAAAAATAAAACAATTTTACTTTTATTTATCTTCAACATAAATTATAACTCAATCTATTTATCATTCTTTATCTACTCATAACAAATAAATTATAATATAAATAAAATATATATACTCCATTTCATATTCATACAATATTTTTATTTTTGTAATAGTTTTTATATGCACACACTTTTTTATAATTTTTTTATTTTCACACTTTTGTCTATTAAACATATTTTCTCCCTTTTATATGTGTTTAGTGGTTTTTTTAAGACATTGAGTTTGTTTATTTTGATTGCTGGAGTTACATTTGATAATATATGGAGTTACATCTTCTTATATGCGATTTGCATCTTCATGTGCTTGAGTTATATCTCTTATTTATACGCAAGTTAAATCTTCTTATGTGTGAGTTACATTTGGACTTGTCTCAAATAGTTACATTTTGCATACATGTAAGTTGCATTTTCCATCAACACGGGTTACATTTGCCATAACACAAGTTACATCACAAAAAAACCCTATTATTGATGAAAAAATGATTTTTAAATTCATTTTTAATGGCCCTAATATTAAAAATAAAACATATTCACTCTTTACGTAATGTAATTGAGCATGTAGACTCTTTTTTCATTGCTTACATTATTGAAATCAATATTTATTTCTTATACTCTATATTGGATAAGTTACATTTCGACTGGACTGTAGTTACTAGTTACATCTCATCAACATGTGTTATATTTCCTTACACGCGAGTTACGTCACTCTACTACTTAAACAAAACAAATAAATTATGAAAAAATTACAGAAATATTACCATTTAAAAACTGTTGGACAACAATATTAGTAACCTCCCTATTTAGAAATAACCATCACATGTGAACCGTTTGTTTTCTTTGCTTATTATTAGCACTAGTCACTTTTTTGTCTATGTAATTACTAGTGGTAATATTTAGGTAAAAAAACTCATAAATTATTGTTCATGCGTGCTATTGTTCATACGTGTTTTAACTCTGGAAGTAATATGCTCACTATGATCTACTCTCACGGCATAACAATTAGTCTCTAATGCATATGGAGTATATTTTAATTTAGGGGTAAACATGAATGTTGAGATGTTTTTCCTTTCATATATTGCATATAATATCAAACTAATCTGCTTTTTTACTTCTTTCTTTGATTTGAACAGACTTATAATCAGCTTTTAAGAGACTGGTATTTTGACCGAAAACGAGTACAAATAATTGACCAGAATCCCTGCCCGGACGTCGATTGCACACGGCCACCATATTAGTTGAATTATTTAGCTTTTCAACTTTTTATCACTTATTAGAAATCTATATCGGAAATTGTCCTAAATAGGTCTAATGAGTTCCTAAAAAGCACAAATAGGACTACTACTTTTTAAATTCCCTAAATAGGACTAAACATTGATTTTCTACCCTAAATACCCCTAAGAGTATTAATTCATAATGAAATGCTTTAATTCATAATAAAATCATAAAAAACATAAAAAAATATTTAAAAAACGTAAAAAATATTTAAAAAGCGTACAAAAATTATAAAAAAATTATAAAACATTTATAAATAAAAAATTTTATTTTTTATTTTTTTTAATTTTTTTTTTAAATAATAAAAAATAGTAAAAACCCATAAAAAATGAAAAACATTATGGATACCTTTCCCACCGCCTCCCGCCGCCTCCCAGCACCACCACCTCCGATTGGTGAAATTTCTTCCACTTTTGGTAAAAAAATGCCATCTCTTTCTGAAAATGCCAAAAAGATGGCATAATTACTCTTCAATATGCCAACATTTTCATTGAATATGCCATCATTATGACATTATTTAAAATGTTGGCATTTTTTTCTCCGGTGATGGGAGCTGGTCGTGCTGGGGGGTGGCAGGGGTGGTAATGTTTTTTTTTTTAATTTTACGATTTTTTTTTAATTTTTTTTATTTTTTTTTAAATATTTTTTTTTAATTTTTTTAATAATTATTTTTATTAATTTTCTATTATCTTTTTACGATTTTTAGTATTTTTTTCGATTTTTATTATTTTTGTATGATTTTATTATTAATTAAAACATTTTACAAGTTACAAGGGTATATTTGTCCAAACACACATAAATAGTCCTATTAAGGGAATTTAAAAAATGTAGTCCTATTTGTGCAATTTTGCCACATTTTAGTCCTATTTAGGAAATTCACTCAATCTATATATATAAAAATGAAGTTCGTATGGAAAAACCTGTTCCCGCCTGTTAACAACATGTTTAAACAATAAACACACATTACACATGCATGTGTACACCGCTGGCTTAGTGGATTTGTGTATATATTGTTACTATCCATTGCCCATTTTTTGCATGTTATTATACTGCACAGCTGTGATCAGAGACGGATCTAGGATTTCGAGTCAAGGGGGCGAATTTTTTCTTTAGTGTAGGGGGCAATATTTTTTTTCACTGATGTTGTGGGGGCAAAAAAAAAATTGCTAATGTGCCAAGGACATTTTTCTACTAGTGTAGCAAGGTAAACTGTTTTTCGCTAATGTAACTAGGCAAACTTTTTTTCGGTAATGTAGCGAGATGAATTTTCACTACAAAAAAAAAAAGGCGGGATTGGCACGGAATTTGGCACGGACTTATCAATTTTTCGTGCCAAATAGCTCGTGCCAAAGTGTTTTAGGCACGGATTTGGCGTATCCCTGCCAAAATCCGTGCCAAAATCTCTGTCAATCCCGTATTTTTTTTTGTAGTGTTTTTTCACTATTGTAGGGCTCTGTCGCTAAACTTATTAAAAAAAATCACTGGTACATACACGATAACATTTAAATCTATTACATTCTAAGTTTAGACAATGAAAAAATAATTTTACTTTTGTAACCGTGAATGCATAAGAAATTAAATTGCAAATCAAAGGAAATTTATTTGAAAATAAAAAATAATATATAACATTTTGTCGAATTATTTCAAGGTAAAAAGTTTAAAAGGCACACATCAATCAATGTCTTTTAAATAACTTATGTCTTGTTTAATCACATGAATCTTATCAGAATAAAGAATTGATTTTTGAATTGTAGTTTTTGTCTACCAAGGGGGTGTTCATAGGTCACGAGAAGTTTTCTTAATATTACAATAATATGTATGAGATTATTATTTTTAGAATAATATTATATGTAGTATTGCTAATTCATATATATGGTGTGTATTATATTTGTATTAGCGCTAAAATACGTTAAAGTTTATTATTTATGCAATAAATTGCTTTAGAAAGTAAAAAGTAAATGAATTGTATAATTTTATATCAACGAATGTTTATATTTTGGATTCACTTCACATGATCTAAAACTATTTAATATTGTTTGATCTTTTACAAAATTTAGTACTAATTGTCTAATAACTAAAGATATATAAATATTACAAAGCTAGGAATTTGTATATAATAGGTATCCTAAGTTTTAAACTATCTAAATTATTTTAGATTTTACTTCTTTTAAACCTACAATTAAGAGCATCTCCAATGCTATAATGTGCACGGTGCACATGTGACATGAGTGATAACCACATAAATATTAGCAAATAAATTATCTCTCTCCTTATTTGAATGATTTTATACAATTTTGGTAAATTTTTCCCTGCAATGTCAACAACAATGTCAACATGTAGACGGTCTCCTTGACATTGTAGAAAAAAACTTACCAAAACTGTATAAAATCACTCAAATAAGGAGAGAAAGAATTTATTTACTAATATTTATGTGACTATTTCTCATGCCACGTGTGCACCGTGCACATTTTACCATTGGAGATGCTCTAAGTATTACACTATGTAAGGCTATATATTAACTTTGAAAACTAAAAGTCAAGGGGGACGAAAACATATATAACTAATTAAAATATGAAAATACTACATATATAGTAGAAAAAATTGAAAGTCCAAGGGGGGCGTTCGCCCCCGCGCCCCCCTTAAATCCGTCCCCGACTGTGATGCTAATATATATTTAATTTTTAGTGAATGTTTAGCAGATACAACCTACGACGAAGGGTGATTAACATCACACTATATTTTATCCTTCCATTGATACTATCTATTATATTTACTAAAACAAATTATTATTCAGTTTGACAATATGTATCAACCAAATACTTTTTTGAAAATATACTCCCTCCAGTTTTTAATAAACTTCACACTTTTCTTTTTGGGACGGTCTAAAATAAACTTCACACTTCCTTATTTTCTTTTTTGGCAAAGAAATCTACATCAAAACAGTGTCAAACAGTGCCAAACAGTGTCTCCACAGTGCCAAACAGTGTCTCAACAGTGTCTCAACAGTGTCAAACAGTGCCTCAACAGTGTACTCTACAGTAAACAGGCCCGGCATTGACTAATGGAAGGCCCTGTTCAAATGGAAAATCGGAGGCCCTGATATTTAATACAAAAAATACAAATAATAAAATAAAAAGTAATATCATACTACCCCGTTCTTAAATAAATGCAACACTTTGACTTTTACACTATTTACATATTCTACTTTGACTACGTTTTACTACGTATTTATTAATGTAATAATATTCTTTTATGAAAAAATATTGTTAAACTTGTCTCATTGTAAATTTTCATGATCTATTTTTTTTTAATTGTTTTACTAATACAATATCATTTATATTAATGGTCAAAGTTGTGTCTCGTCAAGTGTGAAATGTTGACCGTTGCATTTATTTAAGAACGGTGGTAGTATTTTATGATTATACTTCATACTCAAATGCAATTCTTCTTATACAGTGGTTGCTACCCAGTGCCTGCCTAGATGAATCCGGTTGGAGTGGTTGCTTACTTGCTTTGCTAGACGGTAGTTTGGCTGTCCGGTATCCACTGATTCCAGTATTCCACTCGCAGGAAGCAGCCACACAGGACAGAAATAACACACTTACACTGTGACACAATGAAAGAATGAAAGATTGAATAACATCAGAAGTATGAAGAAAATCGGAGAAGCTGAAATCAGGGGAATCGCAAATTCGCAAGAGGTATTCATAGCTATGGAATAAAAGATTATAGAAGATATTTAGCATAAAAATCCTTACGGTAAAAATAATAAATTGATTTAATTTCATACCTTTCCGACGCTTTCATAGCTGACGTGCACTTTGTCGTGAGTGCACTCAAAATAAATTCAACACTAACACTTATACGTAGTATAGGTGAAGTAGAGTTCGTATCCACAGGGAAAGGAATAATTTTCTTTTTATATAAATAGTAAGTAAAGGGGGGGGGTTTTGATTGTTGAGTGATTTAATTAAATTTAAACACGAAGATGAACGATTTATATGGGATTTAATTCAAAGATAAAATTGACTTGGTATTGCTACTTTCCACTTGTTGATATATTTTAGTCGATCATTGTTATACCTATAACTTATCTCCTCTCGAATACTCAATCGAGGAGTATATCCAATTCATCGAGGATAGTTATTAACAACGACCGTTCATTAATAACCCTTACTATTAGTCAAGTATAGAACAACGCCATATACCGACTTGATAGTAGCATTTAATCTTTTAACTCCTTGATGAAATCAATTGAGATTGATAACCTTAACACAACGGTTTCGGTTTAACCAACAAAATTAATCCCTCTTAAGTCTATTAACCACGACCGTGCATTAATAAACCGAAGTTACTTACTTGTGAAACTATCAACGATTAACCATCGGTTCGTTGATCATTTCTAGTAGTAATTAATATATGAAACAAAACTAGTTGATCCTTTAAGTAATGTTCGAAATATTAATATGAAATATGAATAGGAATTAATTAATACTCAAGGAAGAATATTAAAAGGGAATGAATCCTACTATAGTTAAATATCAAGATGTTAACTAATTGTCATCTTAGTAACACTCCCCGATATTAACATAGAGGAAGGAATAGCTATTACTAAAACCAATGTCAAGATGTTAACTAATTGTCATCTTAGCAACACTCCCCAACATTGATATAGAAATAGTATTTAAAGGAAGAATTAATATTCAAGGAAAAGAAGTTAAGAAAATAACTCACAACTTTAATAATCAACAAGCTTCAAGAGCAATACCAAGAAATGGAAGTTTAGCTCCTCATTTGGAGACTAAACATGCTAAAAAATATAAAAGAAATACTATTCTAAACTGAGCTTAAGAGTATGGAAGAAGGGATTATTCTTTGTGAAGGAAAATGGGGTTATTTATAGGTGTTTTTCAACACCTTGGGCCGGGTACCCGACCGGGTTAGGTGCTTACCCGACCGGGTCCGGTCAAAATCAGATATCCTCCATGTTCTGGTGTCCCGGGTCAAGTCTGACCCGACCGGGTCAAGTAGGGGACCCGACCGGGTCTGATGATTTTCCAGGCAGTTTCGGATTTTACATCAGACCCGACCGGGTGCATGGTCTAACCCGACCGGGTTTGTGCTCCTGGGCACACTTATCACCTTTTTCTTCACTTCAAACTCTTCCTTTCCAACACCATAAATACTAATTCTACTTTCCAACTTACAAATGAAGATTAAAATACAATTACAACTAAAATCACATAAATGTTTACAAACTAAATAAAACGATAAACAATACACACAAATCAAACATAAAAAACATACACTTATGCACTACTAATTAGTGCATATCAAACACCCCCACACTTGAACCTTTACTCGTCTCGAGTAAACCAAAAAAATATCCCCAAAAATATAAGAGTAAAGAGGGGTCTTCAACTCCATATTTCTTATCAACCTCATTTTTTTTTTTCGTTACCCTTAGGATCCTGCAGAAAAGAAAATACTTTCTCTCATTCTTTCATTTTGCCTAGGTGCCCTTTCGGGTTTTCATCCCAGCTTCCCACATTTTTCTGTTTCAATCCTCACAACTCACTCTTATTTTTTCTTTATTTTTGCTTAAGTTGCCCTTTCAGGTTTTCAACTTAACAAGTTTTTTTTTTTTTTTAAACAAGAATAAAGAGTATGAATGTGAGTATTCCATAAAACTCTCCCCCCAAGCTAATCAAAGCACTGTCCCTAGTGCTTGTGTATGAGATGATTGCGTTTTTTTTTTTGGGTACTTGTGGGAGGTTTTGTTGGTGATTTGTGGGTGTGGAGATGAAGAGGGTGAAGAGGAGATGAATGAATTGGGTTTACTTGATGCATTTGGTGGATGGATGTAGGAGATATGAAGATTTGGACTCTTGGAAATGGAGGAAATTTGGGGTTTGGTTCGAATGGGGAAAAGAAAGTGAGGAAGAAAGCTGCCCGCCCGCCTCCTGATCGGGATTTTTCCCGACCGCCCGGCCGGGTATAGTGACTGACCCGGTCGGGCGTAAACTGTTAACCCGAGGCAGAGAGTTTTTTTTTGCAGGGTTGCCCGACCGGGTATAGGGGTCTACCCGGTTGGGTGTGTCTATTTTTCTCTGTTCCTCAGCTGCCTCGCCCGGGCGAGTTGTGCGGGTAGGGTATTTTTACGCTATACCCGACCAGGTGTAGTGTGGTACCCGGCCGGGTATGTTCCCCAGGCTTCACTTTTTTTTTTTTTTTTTTTGAAGTGTAAACTTAAACTAGAACAAAAAGTAAACGTACCTTACATGGGTTGCCTCCCAAGAAGCGCCTCGTTTAACGTCGCGGCACGACGCCATCATTGTGTTCAATCGTTCAAGCTTGGATCATGATAATTAATTTTCTTCAAATTTTCACTCCTAGGACCTCCATAGGAGTGCTCAATTTCTCGACTCTCCACTTTGGAAATCTTTCCAGGATCAAATATCCAGATTTTCATTGATTTATGTGGTGGGAGGAAGGGGAAGAAATTATCATGTAGTATGGTCAATGAAAAGTTTTTCGATCCCTCAATTTTGAAGGAGATTTCAGAAATGTCATTTTCCATTTCAAGTTTACGAGATTCTCTTAAAGCTTCCAGAGATGATGGAGATACCTCAAAAGATGACAATGACAAAAATTTGAATTTGAAGCTCAGCTTATCCTCTTCATTGACCAGTTGGAGCTCCGTGTCTTTTTCCTCCTCTACTTCTTCTGCATTCTGGATCTCCTTTTGCATTGCCTTCTCATTTGTCGATGTGATTGCAAAAGTTTGCTGTTTAGGATCACATTCTATTTGAGAGGGAAGTTTCCCCGAATCTCTTGCTTCAAGTCTATTCACAGCTTCAACTATTTGACTCATTTGAGTTTCCAAGTTTAGAATGCTAGACTTGGTCTCATTTTGGAATTCCACAATGTTTTGTTGCATGGTGGTCATGTTGGTAGCAAGAGTCAAAATAATGTCTTCCGTGGACATGTTAGAGGTCGAGAACGGGTCATACCTCATGTGAGGTTCCTTCCCTTGGAAACCAACATCATCATCGATTCGTTCGAAGTATTCTTCTTGGAGCTTCGGGCAAAAATCCGTAAGATGCCTGTGAGACATGCAAATGTTGCATGTCTCGACATCTTGAGCTTTTGAGTTTAATATAAATTCCTTTATTAGAGAAGTCAAAGTGGAAATTTGACTCTCTAAGGATGTTATATTGGTATCCATATTCTCATAACTCATGTAAGCTCAGAAAATAGAAGAGTAAGATTTTTTTTTTATAATTTTTATTTTTATTTTTTTTTGTTTTTGATTTTTATGAGATAAAATAAAAAGAAAAATAATTGCCTTTCCCCGGCAACGGCGCCAAATTTGACGTGCACTTTGTCGTGAGTGCACTCAAAATAAATTCAACACTAACACTTATACGTAGTATAGGTGAAGTAGAGTTCGTATCCACAGGGAAAGGAATAATTTTCTTTTTATATAAATAGTAAGTAAAGGGGGGGGTTTTGATTGTTGAGTGATTTAATTAAATTTAAACACGAAGATGAACGATTTATATGGGATTTAATTCAAAGATAAAATTGACTTGGTATTGCTACTTTCCACTTGTTGATATATTTTAGTCGATCATTGTTATACCTATAACTTATCTCCTCTCGAATACTCAATCGAGGAGTATATCCAATTCATCGAGGATAGTTATTAACAACGACCGTTCATTAATAACCCTTACTATTAGTCAAGTATAGAACAACGCCATATACCGACTTGATAGTAGCATTTAATCTTTTAACTCCTTGATGAAATCAATTGAGATTGATAACCTTAACACAACGGTTTCGGTTTAACCAACAAAATTAATCCCTCTTAAGTCTATTAACCACGACCGTGCATTAATAAACCGAAGTTACTTACTTGTGAAACTATCAACGATTAACCATCGGTTCGTTGATCATTTCTAGTAGTAATTAATATATGAAACAAAACTAGTTGATCCTTTAAGTAATGTTCGAAATATTAATATGAAATATGAATAGGAATTAATTAATACTCAAGGAAGAATATTAAAAGGGAATGAATCCTACTATAGTTAAATATCAAGATGTTAACTAATTGTCATCTTAGTAACACTCCCCGATATTAACATAGAGGAAGGAATAGCTATTACTAAAACCAATGTCAAGATGTTAACTAATTGTCATCTTAGCAACACTCCCCAACATTGATATAGAAATAGTATTTAAAGGAAGAATTAATATTCAAGGAAAAGAAGTTAAGAAAATAACTCACAACTTTAATAATCAACAAGCTTCAAGAGCAATACCAAGAAATGGAAGTTTAGCTCCTCATTTGGAGACTAAACATGCTAAAAAATATAAAAGAAATACTATTCTAAACTGAGCTTAAGAGTATGGAAGAAGGGATTATTCTTTGTGAAGGAAAATGGGGTTATTTATAGGTGTTTTTCAACACCTTGGGCCGGGTACCCGACCGGGTTAGGTGCTTACCCGACCGGGTCCGGTCAAAATCAGATATCCTCCATGTTCTGGCGATCTTCGGCACGTTCTGGTGTCCCGGGTCAAGTCTGACCCGACCGGGTCAAGTAGGGGACCCGACCGGGTCTGATGATTTTCCAGGCAGTTTCGGATTTTACATCAGACCCGACCGGGTGCATGGTCTAACCCGACCGGGTTTGTGCTCCTGGGCACACTTATCACCTTTTTCTTCACTTCAAACTCTTCCTTTCCAACACCATAAATACTAATTCTACTTTCCAACTTACAAATGAAGATTAAAATACAATTACAACTAAAATCACATAAATGTTTACAAACTAAATAAAACGATAAACAATACACACAAATCAAACATAAAAAACATACACTTATGCACTACTAATTAGTGCATATCAATAGCCGCTTGAATCGCAGTCTTCTCCTAGAAACACGGCTTTGTCCCTTCGATTCTCCATGCGTTCAAGACTTCAAGTACCGAAGACCCAGTAACTCGAATAATATAGAAACTGCCGCTTCGATTCTTTGCAGGGCTGGTTAATGCTAGGATGAGTTGCATCGGGCTGTCTATTTTAAAATTTTTAATTTTACTCTTTACTCATGGGCCTAGGTATACTACTAGGGTTAAAAAATTTGGGGCCCTCCAAAGTTGGAGGCCCTGTGCAGCTGCTCCAGTTGCACCTGGACTGGGCCGGACCTGACAGTAAAGTCAAATTTCTTTCCTTATTTTGTGTGAAGTCAAAGTGTGAAGATTAAATAAAACCGGAGGGAGTATATATCAAGCAAATAAGTCATGAAACGTTATATAATACGTAGTACGTAGTATATTAATTATATTTCTCTTACGTTTAGTGAGTATATCACACCCAAACATATGCAACTTATTTTGTAATCCCGCGTTCTTTAATAATTGAAGCAATTCTAATATTATACTCTTCAATTGGCATAATATACTTTGAGTACATTTTATTAATAATACATTAATTAAAATGATGTAATAAAATATAATTATATAATTTGTCTCAAGTAAAATTTGAATATGTAATTTATTTTACTAATAGCTAATTAAATATATTAATGATCAAAGTCGTGTACTGATAAACGTCAACGATATGATGAACTTCAAATGAAAAAAGATGAAAGTAGTGTCATTTTATTTATTATAACAACAAATGTCAATATTTCTATTTTTATCATATCACTTATTCATGCAGTTTATATTCATTGGTGTTTTTTATCATACAACATGATCAATAATATAAATGTATTAATATTTCGTGCATCGCACTGAAGTATGACGTATAAATTAATTATAGTCCATTTATTATATATTTCTGTACGTAGTGTTATGTAAATGATTTTATATTTTTGTGCCATTATATCAATGCATTTTTTAGTTTTATTAATATCATTTTGAGTTATGGTGTTTGGCCATCGAACAATTTTATATTGCCTTCAACGCAGTGGTGGATATAGAAAAGCAGAGTCCGGGGTCCCTACCCTAATTTAACTTCTAAATCCGGTTTCAGCTTTCAAGGATTCAAAATCAACAAGTTGGTTTCATTTTCATTATCATTTACGCCAGTGCCGCAAAGGCTCCCACTTACGGTGGGGTAAGGGGGTCGGATGTACGCAGTCTTACCCCTGTACTAAAGCACAGAGAGACTGTTTCTGGATGACCCATAGTGAAAATCGCGTCCAAAATTGCATGGACTGACTGTTGCTTCATAACAAAAAAGCGCGTGCAGACAGTTTAGTGAGTCATTTTGCTTTATTCCATCATATTTTCAAGCCAAAAAATAATGAATCTTTAGCTCCATTGCAAATGATGGAAATAAAATCAGCAAGTTCGTCATGTATGTAAATTATCTGTCAAATTACACTACACAAAAACTGATTTGTAGAGGCACACCATAATTGCCTCTAAATATAACAAAGTAGTCTCTAATGCTCTTTGGAGGCAATTTAGTGGTTGCCAACAAAAAGTCCATCACAAAATGATGGACTAAACAACCATTTTTTGCTTCATTAGAGGCAAAAAGTCCTTGGCACTTTAGAGGCAATAGTCCGTGGCAATTTAGAGGCAATAATTTTTTGCTTCAAAAAATGTACCTTTAGAAACAACCATACTCTTCTGCCTCAAAATATCATTAGAGGCAACCATATTATGTTGTGTCAAAAAGTTATTAGAGGCATCCTTATTTAATGACTCAAAATGTTATTGGAGGCATTACTATACACTTCTTTGAAATAAAACTAATTAGACAACATGCATTTTGGGGCAATTATTATATTTTATGTCAAATTTCATATACTTTATACATGTTAATATAAACTAAAGTTTATTATAAATAACTCACAAAAGCAACGCATCCCTTAAAGTATTGCACAAGATATCAAACTAAATTTTCTTTAAATAACTGAATATATATAGTAACTAGTACCTATTTAAATAACTTGTTTAATCTAATCTACACTATCCCCATGAAAAATTTGTAAGGAACTAGAGAGTTACTAAAACATTATGATTTAACAACTTAGTTCCAAAAGCTAGCTTCAAGAAAACACATCATTTTCGCAAATTTGTTTAATCTGTCGCAAATTGTTTGTCGCAAAAAATCAATTTTCTTGTAGTGATAATTGATATGTTGTTTTGAAGTAAATGTTTTAGGGGTGATTATAATTTTGCAACAAGTTTTTAGAGGCATCCCTGAAAAGGTTGCTCCAAATAATAACTTTTAGGGGCAACCATGCTTTTGGAGCAAGCTTTTAGAGGCAATTCTAAAAAGATTGCACCAAATAATACTCCCTCCGTCCCATTGAACTTTGCCAACTTTCCATTTTTGGTTGTCCCAAAAAACTTTGTCACTTTCCCATTAAAGCAACTAATTTGTGGTATATTATGCCAATTGAAGAGTATAATATTAGAATTGCTTCAATTATTAAAGAACGCGGGATTACAAAATAAGTTGCATATGTTTGGGTGTGATATACTCACTAAACGTAAGAGAAATATAATTAATATACTACGTACTACGTATTATATAACGTTTCATGACTTATTTGCTTGATATATACTCCCTCCGGTTTTATTTAATCTTCACACTTTGACTTCACACAAAATAAGGAAAGAAATTTGACTTTACTGTCAGGTCCGGCCCAGTCCAGGTGCAACTGGAGCAGCTGCACAGGGCCTCCAACTTTGGAGGGCCCCAAATTTTTTAACCCTAGTAGTATACCTAGGCCCATGAGTAAAGAGTAAAATTAAAAATTTTAAAATAGACAGCCCGATGCAACTCATCCTAGCATTAACCAGCCCTGCAAAGAATCGAAGCGGCAGTTTCTATATTATTCGAGTTACTGGGTCTTCGGTACTTGAAGTCTTGAACGCATGGAGAATCGAAGGGACAAAGCCGTGTTTCTAGGAGAAGACTGCGATTCAAGCGACTATGAAAGCGTCGGAAAGGTATGAAATTAAATCAATTTATTATTTTTACCGTAAGGATTTTTATGCTAAATATCTTCTATAATCTTTTATTCCATAGCTATGAATACCTCTTGCGAATTTGCGATTCCCCTGATTTCAGCTTCTCCGATTTTCTTCATACTTCTGATGTTATTCAATCTTTCATTCTTTCATTGTGTCACAGTGTAAGTGTGTTATTTCTGTCCTGTGTGGCTGCTTCCTGCGAGTGGAATACTGGAATCAGTGGATACCGGACAGCCAAACTACCGTCTAGCAAAGCAAGTAAGCAACCACTCCAACCGGATTCATCTAGGCAGGCACTGGGTAGCAACCACTGTATAAGAAGAATTGCATTTGAGTATGAAGTATAATCATAAAATACTACCACCGTTCTTAAATAAATGCAACGGTCAACATTTCACACTTGACGAGACACAACTTTGACCATTAATATAAATGATATTGTATTAGTAAAACAATTAAAAAAAAATAGATCATGAAAATTTACAATGAGACAAGTTTAACAATATTTTTTCATAAAAGAATATTATTACATTAATAAATACGTAGTAAAACGTAGTCAAAGTAGAATATGTAAATAGTGTAAAAGTCAAAGTGTTGCATTTATTTAAGAACGGGGTAGTATGATATTACTTTTTATTTTATTATTAGTATTTTTTGTATTAAATATCGGGGCCTCTGATTTTCCATTTGAACAGGGCCTTCCATTAGTCAAGGCCGGGCCTGTTTACTGTAGGGTACACTGTTGAGGCACTGTTTGACAAACGAATGATCAACAGTGAATATGTTTTATTTTTTAATATTAGGGCCATTAAATTGATCAATAGAATTTGGAACAGTATGACTGAGAATCAGACAAACGAATGATCAATAGTACTGTATGTGTTTACCTAAGTGTGACGTACTGACGTGCATGTTACATCTATGAGCACAAATAGCTCATATCTCATCAAAATAAACGAATGAATGACGTAGCATGTTTATAATTGGACGAGTTTTTTCCCGGGGTACTTTCAAATTCTCATCACTAATCCAGTTCATAATCCAGGTCAGCACACATTGTATCATCTAAAAACTAAAACGTGAAGCTTGGAGGAATCGAACCCACGACCACTACATTGGTTTGTTATTCCACTTAGAAAAGTAAGTAAACTAATAATAGTAATTGTTATATATAGTAGAAATAACCACTAATATATAGCAATAATAATAACAACAATACTTACAATAATAACAATAGTAATTATTATTGTTATTATTGTTTTTAGAGAAAAATAATTTAAATACCTCAAACTTTGAAGATGTGTGATGAAAGTACTCTAAACTTTCAAATGTAATATTCATACCCCGAATTATATATACAAAGTAATATTAGTGCCATGAACATAGTTTTTTCTTTTGCAATGTGATTCTATGATGCTTTAACTACACATATATACATGCTTAAGTATTTTAAACTATGTGCTAATTAAACACCATAAATTTGCATTTTTGAATAAAAAATACATAGTATGGTGCTGACATAACTTTTTCTATAAAGTTTGAAGTATATATATTACATATATAAGTTTGGGGTGCTTACCTCACACCTCTTCACAGTTTGGATTATTTAAATTATTTTCCTCTTTCTATTATCCTTATATTGATTATTATTATTATGATTATTTTTATTATTATTATTATTATTATTATTATTATTATTATTATTATTATTATATTTACTATTATTATTATATTTATTATTATTATTATTATTATCATCATTAATATCATTATTATCATTCTTATCATTGTTATTATTGTATTTATATTATTTTCTTTGTTATATTATTATCAGTACTATTATTGTTATCATTGTTATTATTATTATTTCTACTATTGTTATTATTATTTTCTTTTGTATTATTATTTTTATTACTATTACTTTTATTATTTCTACTAGTACTACCAATTACGTAGTATATAACAATTACTATTATTAGTATGTTTAAATTACAAAACGCAACAACAAGAGAAGGTTGTCCAGTGGCATGAGCCTCATAATTTCTAAGCCACGGGAGTGGGTTCGAATCCCACAAAAAGCCCTGGGCATTTCATTTTTGAGAAGATACATGTATCGTTTGCTGACATGGAATTGGAAATTTAATGACGCGGCAGACGAAACGAAACCAAACAAGACTTAAGAAACACATAAAAACAGACATCTACTAAACCATATAAAACCATACTACACTAAAACAATCCATTTCGGATCAGATAGGTCAGAATACGTATGTCCAATTAAAAACATTTAATGCTACATTTTTGTAAAACTTTTTTTTGAAACATTCTTCTAAACCTACTATAAACCTACTATAGTATCTGCTCAAATTAATAACAACATCCTTGACTGATATGAGATTCGAACCTGTGACCTCCTCATTGGGATAAGCAGTGACAGATGCTATAAGATCACAAGGTACTTTGGGTGTAAAAATTATTAATATATTCTTTTTTGACAAATAGTTAATGCTTGAAGACAAACTACATGATTACTTATCAAAGAAAATGTAGCTACAAAATGTGGTAAAAATGTGTCCATATATGTCCTTGTTTATAATTAATTTAATTTGAAATTCTCTGTGTTCGTGTGATTTAAAGTACATATTAGGTAGTATTTGCTAATTAAATGGTATCTTCATTCTTTAAAGAACTTCCTACTTTGAGTAATAAATGTACTTTTCTTCCCTGAAGTGTTTTTTTATTACAAAGAATAAATATTGTAGAGTACATTCTTTTGACATTGTGTGACACTACACAATGTCCTCAGTCTCACTACGAGTCTACGATTGTCTCATATCAAATTAAGTAAAGTTTGTGGGATTGTAAATCATTCTTACTTTATCAATTCAATATCAAAATATAAATCCACTTTTTCTTAATGACAGTGCCAACTCCTCATGTCCCAATGTTAGTGGAATGGATGTAATATTAGTTAATTATTAAAAGTACATAATAGAACAAATTGATAAGAATGTACGGAGTATTTATCAAGCATAGAAAAATAATACTACATACAATTTAAAGACATCGAAAAAAGGAAAACAAAATTTTATTTAAGAAACATAGGGAATAGTTTCAATGTTAGTGAGTATATGTATATATTCGATGTCTTAAAACCCAAATACTGAGTCCATAAAAATAAAATGTTTTAGCGCGCTTTTTTATTTTTGTGTCAAAATAATTTTCCGCCTTAAATTCGTTAAAAACTAAAAAATGAGTACTTCAAAATAATCATTGGGTCTATCAGTCACTTTTTTGCTGATTTGGTTGCTATTTGTTTTTTGACCAGATCAATCAGCTAACCAAGGTGTTTGGTTAATAGCTTTTTAATTTTGCTTTTTAAACCAAACAACCAAAAATAAAAATGCCATTCAAGCTAGCGTTTAGGTGTTTGGCCGTTCAGAATCTACATGATATCCCTATTTGACCCAAAGACTATTCTCTCCTTTCTCTTCCGCTCCACTGGTCTTCTCCTTGCCAATCTGACATACCGTAAGAACAGAGAAATACGGAGTAATAGAGTAAATAGACATCTTCCACTCTTTCTTTTTGAACTCCTTAAATTTGAAACAACTTTTCTTCGTATAGCATTACTTGTTACTCCATTTAATATATAACCATACAGAGTACCGATTTAATATAATACTCCCTCCGTCCCACTTTAAGGTTACCACACGATTTACGATGTTTGACTGACCATAAAGTTAACCAATCCCTGTCATTAATAGAATTATTTTTAGTAAATAAAATTTACCTATTCAGAAACTACATTAAACCCGCAACAAAACCTGCAAAAAATATTTTAAATTTCATAAACTTTCGATATAAAAAGTAAAAGATTAAGAACAATGCACGTTGACCGGAGAATAGTGTACGGGAACCTTTAAATGGGACGGAGGGAGTAATACAAGAAAATCAATGTTTAAAAAAATTGTTAATTGTGTTATACGGAGTAATTTTTTGTTAAACAAAAATGGTGTACGTAATTGTACTAATATGATTAATAAAATGTACTGCATAAAAGTAGTTAGTAAATAAAAAATTATTTGGTGTCCTTAAAAGACATTTAACAAACAACTAATTATAAACAGCTATTTGACCAAACACCATTTTATAAACCGCTAATATTATCTGCTAATCAAAACAGCCAACAGAATCTGCTAATAGTCAATCGCCAACAGAACCAGCCAACCGCTAACCGCTGAATGTTAAATACCCCCATTATGCAATAATGACTTAATTTTATCAAGGATTTTTTTGGTATATCTTCATATGTAATACGAATTTAATGAGTTTGTCTAAATATATGCTAACCTTGTACGTCACACTTGATTACTTCAACTTCCGACTTCACATTTTCAGTGTCCTCAAATTTTGTTGGTGATTGTAGTGTCCCCGGTCATTTTATATAATTGGAAATGCCTTGTGCGTCAAAGAGAATTGAAATCAAAACCTAATACAAGTTTAAAAAAGTAATTGTACGATGCACTGTATATTTCTATCGATCAGCTAACTGTATCACAAAATTCTAAAAAAAGTACAGCTAATAAAAAACAGTTTTTAGTTCTTGTTAAACTTGGGCACAGGGCATTCCTATTTTTAAGTAAAGATGATTAACAAAAAAAATGTACCTCTATTACATATAAATGTTTAACTTCTAAATGCAAGTGACTTTAATAACCTGTTTTTTAATAACAAATTATTAAGGTCTTATTAATTTTGTAGAGAAAATATTGATGGGGAGAATATATCAACTGTCAGTGAAATGTCAAAAAAATAAAGATTAAAGGGACAAATATGTAATTTTTGTATTCATAGAAATTATATACGGAGTACTACGTATGAATTTGCTGAGGTTGTCCACTGTCTGATACAGTCTAAACAATAGAGCCTCTAGCTGCTCCTCTTACTCATTTACTCGTATATTTTATGTGCCAGTTTTTGAAGTGATAACCATTAAACTTACCTCAGAAGTCAGAAGATATGGAGCAACCCTGAGGCTTCCTTGCAATGTATATCTGATCACCGTGAGCGTTGTTCTTGTAAACATCCTGATTCCTATGCCAAGTCCATAGTGCGTGACTGGAATTTACAACCTGCAATGAAGAAGAAAAGAAGAAAACACGGGGAAGCCCTGTTTTACATAAATGTTGCAAAGTTGTCATGATTCTCATGAAAAGCTAATATTAAGTCATTCCACATTGACCAAACACAAGTCTGATCTTAAGGTTTACCTCAAGTATTCCATGTCCGAAACTGCTCTCTCTATATGCACTCCATTCGGGTTGTCTGTCCCAGCAAAATTTTCCTTTGGCAGGGCCGGATGAGAAGTTCATGTGACATACACCTCCAAATTCTGGTCTATTATCACCACCAGATGGACATTTCCCGTAGTCATCTGCAAAATCAACATCAACCTTCTCAATGTTACCACCATCCCCCACTGTTATGTAGACTGGCCCGCAAGGATCCAGAGTATAATTGTACACATGGTTCATCCGCTCATATGCATGAACCTGAAAGAAAGTCTTAATAAAGCCTCTTGTGCAATAAAACTCCAATCATTTTCACAGTGAAAGGCGTGAGCAGATAATGTGAGAATTAAAAAACGTTTAGAAAAAATAATTGGCAAAGCTTATCCCTAACTCTTACAGTAATTATTCTGTCAAAAAAACTGGTACCATAATTATATGACTAGTAGAAATGAAGAAAGACGACCGATTACAACTAGCTCAAGCTTTAATGGGCCATACACACACACACACACACACACACATGCAGTCTTATATAGAGCAATCGAAACTTCCTATGTCCTCGAAGACGTTACTTAACTGGTGTTCTCTGCAACTCTTTTTTTGCTAATTACTTTCATCATCATCAGCATTATCATTAGCCATGTGCCGCAAAGGCTCCCACCTACGGTGGGGTAGGGGGGTCGGATGACCCGTAGTGAAAATCGCGTCGAAAATTACATGGACATACAAGAAAATTTCATATCATAATAGAAAAATCTAGACCAAACAAAACCTGAAATGTTCTAATGAAGTGATGATTTAATTTAAGGCCACAATTAAAAAATGAGCCAGATACTCAAAGTACGGAGTATTAGTTAAATTTATATCCAATTGCTTAGATACCAATTTTGAAACTTTTATAACGAGTGTATCATCAACCAAGACAGTGATTGCATGAAAGTGAGATGCTTTTATCTTACATGTCCGGAAAAGACAATGTCAACTCCATAGTGATACAAGACTTGTTCCATTTCTAGCCTCATGCACTCAAATTCCTGATAGTGTGATGAGTAGCTGTTATACCAAGGAGGATGCCATGCAGCAACAAGCCATGGAGTTATGCTGCGATCTAATTTCTTCAAGTCTTCTATTAGCCAACTATACTGAGCACCTAATGAAAAAATGGCATTAGAAACACATCAGCAAGTATTTAACACAAAAAAACAGTTTGATAATATTTAAAGGCAAGCTAATTTTGGAATAATAATAGATCATGTCAATCACCAGTTCTGTTGTAGTCAACATAGGCCCCAAGCATTATGAAATGTACACCACCAGCATTAAATGAGTAGTAGAAGTTACTCATAGATCCCGATTCATTTGAAGGGACAGAAAATCTTGTCAAATATGACCTAAATGTTACTGCTTCTGCTTGGGGTTCAATCTCATGGTTGCCTTCTATGACCATCATTGGAACTCTTGAGGTCAATGGTTCCATAAACCTGGACCACAGTTTTAGTTACATTAAAAGAATCTGTCAACTAAGAGCCCATGGTATGGTTAGAATTTAGTTGAAGTTGCTAGATTGTTGTTTGGAATGGCAGAGTTATCTCAAATTAATGAATGGTGTTTTAATCAATTAAAGAAGATATATCCTACAACAAGAAGAAAAAAGTAAACAAAAAAGCCTTTCCCTGCCTTTTTTTATTATAAGCCGATTCAGAGTTTCAGATGCTCGACCATGTAAACTAGTGTACAGTTCTCCTACAAAACTGGCATGACATGTCTTTTTCCGTTTCTTTGTGAATTTATATAATTATATTAGCATGGATAGAAGCCTTTTTATAATTAAAAAAAACATGGGATATATATTTAATTAGGAAAATCATCAATGTACCTTCCCCATCCATCCCAACGAGGTTGATAGGTCTCCCTGATGGGCGAATCAGGAAACTGACATGAATAGCAAGAGGCCGCTTTTCCACCGGTTGTAATGTACTGATTTGCATATGTCATGTCCCCAACCATCAATACCATTGAAGGATCATTCGTGATGAGATGATCAATGGTTGTAGTTGAATTACTTGTGAGGCCTAAATCTCCAATCACAGCTATTCGACGAGGATACTTGTGAGGTGCAGGCAAAGGCAAGGTCTCAAATACAAACTCCTCACTCATTGCGCCTAAAACACTATCTCCACACTTGTAGTAATACTTTGTCTCAGGCTCAAGATCTACATGAGAACACAAAGCTACTCAATTTGAAGTCAACTAAAGGGATCTCGAAGGGCAGAACTCATCAATCTTCTCAAGTATTTACCATCGATTTTAACATGATGAATAATGCCAGAAGTGTAATTCCATAGACCTTCAAATGGATACAACTGACTGTAAACCATTGAAACCCCAGTTTTAGTCTTTGTGTAGGCCCCACCTGATTTTCCATAAAACACCTCGCTTCTTACTTTTGCTGGATCTAGTGGCGTCACATTCAATCCAATCTGAGATTCCCCTAAAACCCAAGAAAGCTCAACTTAATCCCACTTAAATGCCAACTCAATTTAATCAAATCCAGGCAATTAAAACCAATTACATAGAAATATCTGAATGTAAATGCTGAATAGTAAAGATTCAGGAGTAAGATACAGCTGGATTACCTTGAGGGAAAAAGGATAACGAAGAAAATTAAATTTAAAATCAGAGTTCATACCAGTGACCCAAGAGACCCACATAGAAGTAGGGGTGGATAATGCAAGAGCGACCTGCTCAGGAAACATGGAGGTTACATTCCTCTGGAGCCTGGGATGTTCCATGGGCAAGTCATCACTGCCTTGGCGCAAAGAAGGGTCGAACCTCCTCGTCACAGGCTTGAAAGGGCCATCCAAGGTGGTGGGAATTCGCTTTTCTTCATCGGCGGCCACCTCTATCCAGCCAGCCATCACAACGATCAAGAAAATGTAATAAAGAGATTTATAAAACCCATTAGCCGTCATAAAGGTCCCATCTTTTTTACTTCTATAGCACATTTTGCTTAATTGTGATGCTTGGCGACTGAGTTTGGAGATTAGCGTGCCATGGATAAGTTGATATTGTTTACTTCGGCCTTCGGGAGTGTCGGATTCTCCTGGAAAAAATTGGAATATGCTCTATCGCTAGAGATGCCAACTTTTTGGGTGCTTTTCTAACTTTTTGGGTGCTTTTCTAATACGAGTACTTTCCTCTAATCAAAAATGCTATTGTTACACATTTTCCTTACACACACATACACACTATAAATAGGTCAAAACAAAAAATTACCCCCCTTTCCCTCACCTTAGCCAATTTCACACATGCCACACTTCAAAAAAAACTCCGCTCCCAACCTTCTCCCTTCCCTCGAACGGTCTGAGTCGCCAACCCTCGAAGAAGGCCAATTATTTCGCGCATCCCCACCTTCTTCCTTCCACCACTGGCCGATTAATCCCCTTCTCAGGGCCGTCCCCAACCCTCGTCTGTGCAACCTCGTCGCCGCGAACCCTCGACGAAGCCCACCTCGTCGCCGCGAACTCGTCCCGGCCAACCCCACTCGAAGGCAGCCCTCCTCCCCGTCAACCTCCGTCGAAGGCGAGCATGGTCGCTGCACACTCCAAGGTGATATTAATTTACACTTTTAAGCTATTTGATGATATTAATTTGGAGGGTGAACAAAATAATTTTGTTTATGAAGTTTTGGAACCCATCTATTGCTTGGATTTTGAACAATATGTATTGTCCGTGTAAGGTTGGTTTTATGCCTGTCGAAAGACATCTATTGTCTATGTGAAGATAGATTTCTCTAAGTATTTGTCTATGTGAACTTATATGTAATTGGCTCTGGCTCCATTTGTCTAGGAAGACTTATATGATTGTCTGTATCACTCTATGTATGTCTTTGTGACTAATATGATTGTTTGTACTTTTACACAACGCTATAACACTAAAACTGAAATGAATTCACTCCTCGTGTGATTTCCACAACTAAATCCAAATAGCAGGAAAAATATGCAAGGTTCGGTTGATTGTTTTTCTAAAATTGTGAATTTAATTCTAAATTTCATTTATTGTTTTTGTAGTTACTGAATGGATGTTTTCCTAGAAAAAATGATCTCTTCAAAAAGAATGTATATTGTTTAGAGAGCATTCTGTTTGTGTTTAAGCTTCTTCATTGAGTTAATCTTATGCTTTTAGGGGTAATGTTTGATTCCGACAAAACTTCTGACATGAGTTTTATTGTCCATGGTTTTGAATGAATTACAGTTCTGAAGGTTTTGAAGAAAAACTTGGGACCGTTTTAATTAACAATGGAACAATTTGAAATTTATTGTCTAAAAGAAATTTGGTTCCCATTAAATGATGCTGTATTGCAGAACTTGTAATGCATATCGTTGAAAGACAATATTGTAAGGCTGTGTATGCTAAGTGGAAGTGTGTAAATGTAATATCTATTTATGCTAGAAAAACAACAACTAAAGCGTAATGGACTCTATGTGCAGGAATAGAAGTTAACATAAACCTCAAAACTGAACTTCTGGTGCATTTCAAAAATTTCTAGTTTGGAACACTTAATTTCTGTCCTTAATGGTTGAAGCGTATATTCTATTCAAACTTCAAACGTTCATACAGTTGGTGTACCCCTTCCAAGTGGATAGGAAGAAAGTAAACCAACAAAGGTTTACTTTCAACCCTTCACCATGCCTGTGTGACTGATTCTTTGTCTGTATCTAGCTAAATGCTTGCCTGTGGGACTTAACATATGTGTGTGCTTTTATGGTTTATTTTATTATACATTCACATGGCACTTGGAGAGCGGAGACAGTATATAATGTTTGTTTGTATATAATGTTTGTGGATATTCATGTTCTGTGGATTTAATGTTTGTATGTACACAAATATAATGTAAATGTAATGCTTGTATGAATTTTTTTTATGTCCAGATTCAGTGTTTGTGGCATGACAGTTATGGCCTTTGCCGAGTCACTGTTGCAGAACTTGTCATCACAGCCTGAGTGTGCATATGAGAACATGGCAGCGAAAAGATGTGAATTTGCAATGGGGATTTGGACTTTGAGGAAGATCCACTGTGACTACTTTGGGCCTGCATGTTTAGTGTAGGATGGGGTTTGTTGTAAAACATTGATGTGACCTTACTATATACATTTTTTGGTGCTCATTTTTTGCCACCATGCGTTTGGTTGTTAAATGTAGGAGGTTGTACAATGTTACAGTAAGAGTGTCGTACAATGTCCTAGAATGTACTCCCAAATATTACCTGAATTGGTATACCTTTTTGTTTTTGTGGCAAACACTTATTGATTATGGTGTTAATATATATGGGGGATGCCTTTGCTTGTGAAGAAGAAAAATCTTGTTTGTGCTTTTATACGACTTTGTCTGTGATTTGTGTCGTAGTTGTCTGTGAAGAAGAAAAATTTTGTTTGTGTTGTTATCCGCTCTTACATCCACTTAAAATATTTTTAATAACTATTTTATGTAATTTAATAACTAAAACTTTTATTACTTTGATTACCACTAGAGCCCATGTGTAATTTTGAGGTGATCAATAAGTTTACAGATTATTAGTTTAATCTTAAAAACTAACTAGTTGTTTAAAAACTACTAGTATATGTAATCCATTGTATATTGTGCGTCTGTGAAGAAGAAAAATCTTGTTTGTGCTGTTATATGACTTTGTCTGTGATTTGTGTCGTAGTTGTCTGTGAATAAGAAATCTTGTTTGTGTTGTTATCCGCTCTTACATCCACTTAAAATATTTTTAATAACTACTTTATGTAATTTAATAACTAAAACTTTTATTACTTTGATTACCACTATAGCCCATGTGTAATTTTGAGGTGATCAATAAGTTTACAGATTATTAGTTTAATCTTAAAAACTAACTAGTTGTTTAAAAACTACTAGTATATGTAATCTATTGTCTATTGTGCGTCTGTGAAGAAGAAAAATCTTGTTTGTGTTGTTATATGACTTTGTCTGTGATTTGTGTCGTAATTGTCTGTGAAGAAGAAAAATCTTGTTTGTGCTGTTACGTCGTCCATGGCCGCCGCCAAGTTCAGGGACGTCATCCATGGCCGCCGCCGGTTCTCCGTCACGTTCAGCCGCCGCTGCCGGTTCTCCCTCAACTTCAGCCGCCACCGCCGGTTCTCCGTCAACTTCAGCCGCCACCGCCAGTTCTCCGTCAACTTCAGCCGCCACCGCCGGTTCTCCCTCAACTTCAGCCACCAGAATCTATTGATTCCATTGATTTTGAAGCTTGTTATGCGTTGAGGTGTGCTGCGGGTACAAGAAAGAAGGACGACACGGGAGGAAGTGGGGGAAGAGAGGGTGGGTTGTATTTGCGCGTGAGGGAGAGGGGTAAAAAAAATGGTAATTTTTGGACCTATTTATAGTGTGTAGGTGTGTGTATGAGTTGTGTGTACCCCAAGCCCAATTGTTCCTCTAATATGCTTTTCACTTCGGTTTTTATAGTTTTCCATTTATTTGATTTGAGAGATATATAGTATGAAAGAGAAGTGATCCTGTCCAGCAAATTTCTGTCCGAACAGTGTCCAAACATGGTCATTTGGGGCATTTCCCGGTGAAATTTTTTTATGAAATTTTTTGAACAAGTTCCTCACCAAGTCTAGTTTGTCCATACCAAATTTCAGCTCAAAATTAAATCGGGAAGGCAGTCAAATCATTTTTTTTAAGTTGACTGCGCCAAAATATACATATAAAAACGCAGTCAACTTAAAAAAATGATTTGAATGCCTTCCCGATCGAATTTTGAGCTGAAATTTGGTGTGGACAAACTAGACTTAGTGAGTAACATGCTCAAAAAATTTCATCAAAAAATTCCACCGGGAAGGGCCCCAAATGGCCATGTTCGGACGGAGGCTCCTGTCCGAACGTGGGGACCTGAACATTTCCGTCGTATGAAATTAAAATATAAATTATTTGTGTTTCGATTCAATTCCAATTTTGTTTTAGTTCACTTTGGTTTCAAGTTCAGTACACCCAAGTCAAGGCCCAAAACAATGGCTAAAAAATAGGTCTGAGAGTAGTTCTTCGTATGAAATGGTTAACACTTTTTTCGAGTGAAATTTGTTGAAGTTCTTCGGAGTAGATTTTGTTTGGTAAAAACTTATATTATGTATGAAGTGTAGGTTATGTAAAAAAATCAGTTTAAAGTTCAATTTAGAAGTCAATTAAATAAATTATTGAAAAATATTGTGTTTGTATACATATTTTGGTGCATTGTTTTTTTTTACTCCAGTTGGTCTGGAGGAGGGGGCTGGGGGGGCCTAGAGTGATAAGGACCGAAATTCACTCTATTGAGCTTCGAACCCTTATGTGTCTAGCGGGTTTCAAACTCGAGACCTCCCACTAGGCATGATAACCTCACAATCAGTTGAGCTGGAATGCTTGGTTATATTTTGGTGCATTTTTTTTCAATAATTTATTTAACTGACTTCACGATTGAATTTTAAGCTGAAACTTTATGAACATGATCTACACTTCATGAAAAACATTCTCTTAAAATTTCATTAAAAAATTCCACTCGAAAGCACATTAGTCTGATATGATTATTTGATAGGTTTATTAATTGATTTCATTCATAGTTGATTGTTTGATTTCTTAATTGTTGATTATTTTCTATTGAGTGTTGGTGTTATAACTTGTTGATTTTGTTAGACACACATTTTCAATTATGATTAAATCTATAAATTTAATTAATTTCAAGCTGTAATAAAAAGGATTAAATCTGAATAGGATAAATAAAAAAGAGGAGAAGATTAGATAAAGCAGTGTTAAGTAAAAAAGTTCAATGACAAAGTTTATTTTTGTAAAAAAATCAAATTCTGAATTTCTTCTTCAAGATGAGAACTCATAGAAAAACAATAATTTAGCTACTACAAATGCAATTCAGAATGATTACATCATTGGAGAGAGAAATTTAGGAGGTGATAATAATAGAGTTAAATCCTTAAATATGACTTAAACATTAATAAAGTGTACAAACAGTATCACCAATATTATAATATGATTGGTTTAGACATAAAAGGGTTTTTACAAATTTTTATAAATGTCTTAAAATATTATTATTATTATTATTATTATTATTATTATTATTATTATTATTATTATTATTATTAAGCGCAGTTATCTTTAAAATTCATTTGAATGCTTTCCCGATTGAATTGTTAGCTGAAATTTGGTATGAGTAAACTAGACTTAATGAATAAGATGCTCAAAAAATTTCATCAAAAAATTCCAACGGGAACTGCCCCAAATGGAGACGGCCAGATAGAGCTTCTTATATAAGGGCTTATTTGACCTTTTTATGTAAGTTCGAGGGCCTATTTGATCATTTTCCCTTACTATTATGCATGTCTGTTTAGATGGAAAAGGGTTTTACAATTTTTTGTAACATCAGATCCATTTTAATTCTCCACCCTTAAGCCTTTGAGCATACAAGGCTGCCCCTTAAGCAAGTGAATATTATAAGGTTTAATTTAGTTTGATTCGGTTTGATTTCGTAAGTTTATTACTTCATATTTTATTTGATCAAGTTGTATATTTAAAATATAAAAAATGAAACAGTAGTTCATCTCATCTTCTTGTATTTGTTATTTAAATAAAATATGAAATGAAAATAAAAGATAGAAAAAGAAATAATAAAATGTAAATTATTGACATCTAAATATGTCTTATTGGGAGTGATGACATGAAAATGTCTAGCGTCATTTTAACCACTAGAAAAAAAAATCACCTCTCACAAAAGATAATTTTATACTTGATTAACGTTTATAATATCAAATAAATATTCAAAGAAAACTAAATGAGTCAGCGGTATAAATATTGTAAAATTTATTATTTTACTCAAATAAATCATGCAAAATGTATATTGTACTCTAGTTTAATTGAAAGTAAAAATTGAAAATAATAATCTCAACTATTATTGGTCCGCCATTAATAATCTCAGTTATCGATTATTCTTGGGTAGTCCCAACTATAGAGACCATTTTCCAAAAATGGTCCCTAACTTGTTACAACCCGGTATAGTAGGTCATTTTTAAATGTGAAGTATGTATAAGCTTTAAATTATTCCAACTATAGTTGGCATTTTTTTATTAATCCAAACTATCAACTCTCAATTTTTTGAAGATGTAAAAAAAATTATAAATTTTCATGATAAATATTTTTAAACATGTATAAACAATTACAAAAATTATAGAAATGTACCGAAGTTAAATAAAATATTATTAGTCATTTTTTGATTTATTTCCGTTAATTTGTTTTTCTTTTTGCCAGTTTGTGCAGTTGTGTTACCATTTTATGATTTTTTATTATTTCCCTTTATTCACAATTACACTGTTTTCAAAAAGTAAATAATGATTAAAACTTTATTCATTTATTTTATTCTATCTTAATTCTAAAAACCTAAATGTTCTATTTTTCCATTTTAGTATTTCTAGTTTCTTTCTATTTTCTTTATTTTAAACTATTATATTCTATAAATTATATTATATAGTTTATCATTTAATTTTAGTGATTTGGGGTATAGATTTTGGAGGTTTTGACTATACTTAATGGAAATTTATTAATATTATAATTGTAAGTGATATAAAAGAAATTGTAAACATGTAGAAAAAGTGTATCAAAATGGTAACAATAATCCCCACTATTTTTGTAGGTTGAAAAAAGTGTGGCCTTTTGGTGAACATTTCTTTATCGTCATTTCAATCTATTCACATTTCCACATTGATAGAAATTAAAAATACTATATGGAATAACTAAAAAATTTAGATTTTTAGATTAAGCTAGAATAGAGATCTAAATCTTAAAAAAAAATCACATATTAATTTTGAAAATAGAGATTGTGAATTTGAATAAAAGAAAATAATACTAAATCATAAATTGGTAACATAACTGTGAAAATGATTAGTGAAAGTAAATAAAAAATGATTAATTTTTAGTGAAAAATGGAATTTTAGTGAAAATAAATAAAAAATGATTAATTTTTTTTATTTAATTCTGGTACACTGGTAGAGTATTTGTAATTAATTTTTCATGCTTAAAAATATTTAGTTTGGAAATGTATAAAAATATTTTTACATCTTCAAAAAATTGAGAATTAATAGTTGGGATTAATAAAAAAAAAGGTGAAGTATAGTTGAAATTATTTAAAGCTTACACATAGTTCACATTTAAAAATGACCTGTTATAGCAGGTTGTAACAGGTTAGGGACTATTTTTGGAAAATAGTTCCTATAGTTGGGACCACCCAGAAAGTGATTATTAATGGCGGACCGACAATAGTTGAAATTGTTATAATAATAATGTGCTATTGTAATCGCCAAACATCTTTTCATACAGATAAAGCACAATATATAACAAATAC